TCAAGGTCTCGGAGGCCCGACGGTCGAAGAGCGTTTTCAGGTCGATATTCGACGGATGCCCAGAGAGGGTCGCGTCGACAGGGATCCCGGTCGCCGAAGTCCCCAGAATGGCAGTGATATCCAGGATGGTGGGACCAATGGGACCCAGAGGAATGACCATTGTGTTGGTGGCCGAGCACCAGAAGCACAGAGCGGCTTGGAGAAGCTCCTTGTCGGGAACGATTTCCATAGATGAAAGGAGGATGGCGTCGTAGATGCCAAGAGCCTTTCGTTGCTCGCCGAAGAGTCGTTCCATTCGAACGACCCAGGCTGCCCAGGATGTGGTCGTCGAGGGCCAGGAGCCCTGGGGCTTAGCCGCATCCCATCGCGACCATTCAAACCCTTGAAGCAAGGGTGTTAGGCAATGCTCCTGTAGAAGGCCGATGATAGTCGGCGGTATTGTAGCCTTGAAGAGAGGGCCCAGGATTTGGTACTGGGTGCTCATGTCGTTTTCAAACCGGATGGTCTTGATCGAGCTCCGATCAAAAATCTTCTGATGTTGGTCACACTCCCTGGAAAGCTTGGAGATGAAGGACGCCATTGTGAGAAAGAAGCACGGAGTAGAAGGGTTGTCTGGGTTGGGGATTTAAAGACGAAGACTTGGAATAGGAGAAATGCACTAGAAATCAACGGCAGAGGATTTCAGGAAGTTTGAGAGCGTAAAGGTACAAATGAGGGAATTTCGGTATTTATAGAGTTATAGGGGGAAGAGCAATCGTTCGAAATTCAAAACAAAGGGCAAAATCGACCGAAGGAATTGTCGATCATGACGAACATTTGGGAAATGCGGTTGAGAAGACCGAAGGTCAGGGTTTTGGGGGCGCAGGATTGCGTGTGACGGCGAAATTAATGACGAAAGACGGTTCGACGCCTGCACGATGACAAGTGGGCTCACGGACTGAGGTAGTGGCTCGCGGATTGAGATAGTGGTCATGATGGCAAGACGGTTCAGGCTGCCGTACGCCTTAGACGTCATTATGGGGGATTGGCCATGTTAGAGGACGCCACGTGGCGAGTGGGTTAGCAGGATCAAGATCGTGCGATCGTGCTCAATAAATGCGCCTTGGAACTCGGATATTAGGATCCTGAGTGGTAGATTCGCTTCTTCAAGGCCGAAACTCGGTCGAAGGTTTCAAGCCGAGGACCTCAGAAGCGAGGGGGCAATGTTTGGGCCCAAAATAATAGTTTGGGCCCAAAATAATAGTTTGGGCCGAGGGTAGGATCACTCTCGGCCCAGGAGGCCGGGCGGCAAAAGGACCATGGATCGGTCAACCTGTGGGAGTCCAAACCTAGGGCGGTTAAGACGAATCCTAGTGCAATGGGGAGTCTCGACGGGATCGGATATCCAGGAAATTAATCCAGCTTAGCTAAGGACTAGGTTCATAGTCCTAATAGGTGTAGGACTGGTCGAGGTGATCCGGAGAGGGAAACCTAGTCCGAGTAGGATGTAAACTCGGACTCAAGGTTCAGTACTATAAATAGGGGACGCTGTGCATCAGGAAAAGCCCTACAAAATCAATACAAAATTGCCCTGCGCAAACTCTCACAACTTGTGATTTTTCTTTTTCCTTTCTTCGCTGACACATCTTCCGTTGGCATTAACAGCACTGTGGAAGCAACCGGTGATATCTTAAGTCGGCATAGATAGCTCTGTCACCGTAGAGTCAGTCGGTCTCGCAGTATCTTCCGTTGGCATCAACAGCACTGCGGCGAGGACGACTGGTTACCTATCCAAGTCTCGGTCGAGAAGGATTTCCGAATCCCTATTGGTCGAGGTCATCTCATCAGCCTTCTCGGCGAAGTGAGGTGTTACCAGGTTACTGTATTCGGCATATTGACAGCCGAATTTGAGATTGAACTTCGCAAATTAGCAGCCTTGTCTTCAGGCTCTAGAACCCAAGAGGCCGAGAATTGTTCCTTCCTCGGCCGTAATCGCAAGACACAGAAGTCAGCAGCGCGCGCTCAACGCAACATCATCAAATTTACTCCTCGGCCGAGCTCGGCCGACGAGTTGGCACGCCCCGCAATCACCGAAGGACGTAGTTAGCTTAGAAAATACTCGGCCTGCGCGCCACGTAGGCTTTTGTAGTTTCTAGGGTCAACAATTACCCATAAGATATTTCGAAGACCATAACTCCAAGATGAGAGTAATTGCAAATAAATATGTGAAAATGAAAAACAATAACCACATATGTTGTGAGACACTACTAAAAGAGACGGTAGATTCATAGAAACCAATGTATGCAATGTTTTAAGATTCCTTGAAAAATTAAAACTTGTGGAATAAAAAACGTCATACTATTATCTAGATAGTACAAATTATAGAAGGACATTCGGCTCTCCCAGACCCTACGTAAAGCGGGAGCCTTGTGCACTGGGTACGACATAACTTAAAATATCCTTTCATTCTCTTCCCCACCTATAGAAATATCAGGTTGTCATCTTTAAATGTATATGACCTTTATTAAACCCCGTTGTTGTATTTAATTTTTGTTGTGTAATTTTATTTAATCAATCTCACACTAAGGTTTAATAAACAACCTTTTTCTTTAAGGAATGAAACCAAAATTACCTGTGTATGTACCGACCAGTTGGCCAAACGAATTAATTCGTATTTACTTGTTAACTTTACTCATACACATTATTCATTAGTTTCTTGGCCAGTCATATGCATTATTTGTGTGTGGAATAACGAAGAAGGCGCAAAACAACTGACATATATTGAACTGATTAGAAAAAGAAAAAAAAAATTGGGAAGAAACAAAAAATGAATTCATCAGATGAATTGTTGACTAGGTACCATCCCAACAGAATACATTTTGGGATTGATAATGCCAACTAGAAGATTTTATGCTGCAGCTCTCATACCCACGACTTGAAGATTCTATAGTGGTCCACGAGGCATGTTAGGAGTGTCAAAAGAAATGAAATAATTGGGTATTCGTTGGACTCATTGTACAAGACCAAGAATGCTGCCTTTCGCCGGAACGTATCAGACCCCCAAAATTCCAATGCATTTTGAGAGAGGAATTCTGCAATTGACAGTATGTTGACTACGTGTCAATAACAGAAAATGCGGTCCCTTTTGTATATTTCTGGTCTTGAAATTAGATGTTTTCTTCACTTGCCTACGTGAGATGAATTGCGTATGTTTTATATTTGTGTGATCAACTGAAGCTAGCATTTTCTTCTGATATTATATAGATTACATCCATATCTTTGAGGTTCCCGACTGAAGAGTTGGCTACGTGTAGTCGACCTAGTGGTACATTCTTGTCCATGTACGCTTTGCCGCTACAGCTCAGTCTCTTGGTGACATCATACACGCCTCATCCAAAACTCAGCTACAAAAATTGCATTACTATATATATATATATGGTTCATCGTATACTCTGAATCCTGATCCCGATCTATTATACACTTCAACCATCGAGCTTCTTAGATGTGGAAATTTGGCAATCCACCTGGGATAATAGTCCCAAGATGAAGAGGGCGTGTACGAGTGAAGAGAAAGATATAGATTTAGATCATTTAGAAATTAATAGTTAAATACCTTCACCAACAATACTATATGTTCTAACAAATTATTGGATACGCATCTGCATTATTATCGATACATTTTATATATCTAGAAGTTTCCAGAGCCATGTCTCTTCTGAAACTTCCAGAATTGGGAATCGTTTCTGACGTCCAGCATGCATCAAGCAAATCCGAAAACAATTAAAATAACTGGTTGTTGAGCAGGTAACCGGGATTTCAGAAGAGAAACGCCAGAACGCGTGGTTGTTTGAACCACAAGCTCAGCCAGCTCATGTTGAAATTTGGAAAAGGTGCAGGAGCAGAAACTTCAATCAACAATAACGTGGCATAGAGGTATATGACTAGGTGATAGCGATTTTGCCGTATATGTAAATAAGTTCAAAATCACATACTTACAAGAATACAAGGATGTTGTAGTATAGATACTCATGCAAGGTTGTTTTCCACATGGACTGAATTAATAATTTATGTTTAAATCTAATTCTTAATTAATAATTTAAAACAAAGTTTAGAAAATATTGATTTTAGAATTTAATATAATAAAAATCAATTTTAAAATAAAAACAATTAAAGAAATTAACTAGAGAACAATTTAAAGAAAATCAATTTGTAAAAGCCTTAGGGTTCAGCCGTCACCTTAACAATCTTACGTACTTCTTTCAATTACTTATGAATTACCCATGCATATTTTGAAGGTTAGGTTTTCCTAAGATATATTCTATTTGGAACCTCCAACATAGAACGTATATCTAACATGCAACCCGTCCGGACGTTCGAATCAAATATGAACATGAAAGACTCATTAAGTTTTATAAAAACCCTTTAAAAAACCATGCAACCCTTAAGACGTGGTGTTCATCTCAAGCGAAATTACAATTATTAATCTCAAGAAGCCATCGTCAATTTCAGGGAACCTTCCAACCAAAATTGTATCAAATTACTTTTCTAAATATCATAATGGTGATCAGGCATTAAGACAATTAGATAGTTAATTCAAAGTATGCATGCATAATATCACAAGTAAATTTTAAAAAAACTATATATTCTTACTAAGGCTCATGGCCTCGCCCTAGCAAAAGAAACTAGCTACGAACAATCATAAAACAAAATATTATTAAAAACAAGGATAGAAAACACCTTGAAAATAAACTTGAATCGTGAAAAGTTAAGTAATGTGTTCTCCTCTCTCCTCTTTTCCTAAAACCCTAATGGCTGAATATCTTTATTTATATTACTACAAAATAAAACCCTAAAAGGTTTTTGAATAAAACTAGGAAACATAATAAAATAATAAAACAAAAAATAAAAGGTTTCCTTAAATTAAAATTCGGAATTCTCAGAAAATTAGTCTTTTGACCAACCCAGTCAACTCCGATTTGGTCTCAAAAGTTCTCTTTTGAAAGCTTGAACCGTCCCCTACAATCCTCAGAAATGAATGTTCCTCAAAATATGCCATCTTGACCTCCAAAATACCCAAAACGTCGAAAAACGTCAATCTTGGAAAGATGCGTGTTGGGTCTTTATTTATTGCCACGGTCAAATGGTTTGGTAGAAATATCTAGAAATTTGACACAATCATCTCGAAAGACTCATGAACAATGTCTATTCGAATCACTTCAAAATTCATCCGTTTGATCACTTTTTGCTCCAGAGGAAGTCGAATGTCCTACATTAGAAATATAATTCAAAATATCAAAATTCACACATAATAACTAATAAATTATTACTGAGATTAGGGTAAAATATATAGTATAATTTCAACTCGTCACTAGGTATAAGAGATTTCCAATTACCAATTACCAAAAAGATTAAATAAGATAAATAGATGTTCCCTAATAAGATATAATAATTGTAAAGTTTGTGTATCACCATCACTTGAGAGTGGTAAGCAAAAATATAAGTTAAAACTTCGTATAACCTTCTTGATGAAAATCACGGAAGATTTCTTGGGATTGGATTCTTCGATGCTTGTTTTCTCCTAAGGAAACATAAGAAACGTGTATGTTTTGTATATTGACGTCGAATGGTGACTATTGCTTTTTTCTGGTGCACACACTTTCTATATGTAGTCGATCATGGTTGGGCTAGGAACAAGTTCAAATATATTAGATGTAGCGTTTTATCTTTAATTGTCTCGGTACTTTTAGTAGTAATCACACTAACTTTGTTTTATAGATTGCCTAGGTACTTTTCTATGTGGGATTAAGTCTTATTATCGAGTATCTCCATCTTGAAGAACCTGTCCAAGTTAACCATCCATTGAATGTATGGCACGATCCATTGCCGCTTTGCCACCGATTATGATTTTCTTGAGTCTGCTCCAGTTTTTGTTCGGAGTTCGGACGTTTAACCTGAAAGAGTTTTTATCATTCTAATAGAAAAACAAAAATAATAATTTAGAAAGTGTATTGGGTGCCCATCAATCTTACTTTGGTCAAGTGGTTTGTAATTCTAAAACAAAGGAAGCCCACCAAATAGCAAGGCCGAGTTAAATGCACGGAGAAACCCAACACAAACAGGAAGGGTAGCAAGGTCCAGGAGGCTTTTTGCATGCAGCCAATTAAGAAATTATATATTATATATCTCTATATACTAAAACCCAACCACGTGGTGCTGTGGATGACCAGTGGTGGGACGATTTTGTCCCTGGCTTTTTCCTCCGGCTGTTCTTCTCTTCGGTTTTTGGGGTGCGAAAATCCCGGTTTTGTCCATGCTGGACGCGTGTTGGTAAGGGAATGATGCTGAATTTATGCGTGTTAGTCATCTGGGAAAGGAAGAAAGATGGAAAAGCAGAGCTCTTTCATTTGCTTCCACAGATTTCTCGAGCTCTCTCTCAAGCCCGAACCCTAGCCTCCGCAAGCGAATCAGGTTTGTCTCTCGCTTTTTTCTCTCACATATTTTTTTTTCAATTCGGGACCGAATTTTGATCATCGTTGGAGCTCCTGCTTCCACTTCTTTTCCATTTTTCTTTTCCTTTCGTCTCTCTCTCTCTCTCTCTCCGTCACGATTCTCACCTTCTTCAAATTTTCAATTTAATTCGAAGAAAATGTAACCCAAAAAAGCTAGGGTTTCTGGTAAGTCTTATCTCAACAGTATACTTGGTTTGAATGTTTTATTTGAGTTGTTTGAATGTTTTATTTTACTTGAACTAGAGTCTCTGTGTTTCCCTTTGATGATCGTTGTTTCTTTCGAGCTTTCAGTTTTTGGTGCCTGGTGGATTCCGGCTAGCTCCGCAGCGGTTAAACCATAGAAATCATCATTCATCGGGTCTTTATTTCGATTCCTCGGTGTGCTGGTCAAAATACCAAACTTTCCAGGTTCGAAACCAAAAAGCATGTTTGCAAATGGATTTCCTCGCTTTTACAGATTAGTTTTGTGTTTGATGCATGTTCATTTTTTTCTTTTTAATAATTTTGGTTATCTGATTTGTAATATTTGTTCTTCATTTTTATTAGATTTTCAGGTTTTTTTTTTGGGGGGATTTTTTGTTCTGCTGAAATTACACTTGAAGCCTGCGAAGACCTCTGTGTTTAAGGTGAGTGGTTTTGAAATTCCATGGTTTTGATTCTACTTGCAGCCTGAGGTGTGATCTTAGATCTGAAATTTCCAAGCTTTTTTATTAATCTTAACCCAGATTAATTAACTATAATTATTATTCTTATTATTTTTTTTCCGGTTATGAAGCTGAAGTGGCTAAAGTTAAGAAAGAACTTTTGTGAGTTAAAGTCTTCATATTTGAAAGTTGAATCTCAGCATTTGAAAGGCTTTGTGAACGTGTCCTCGATTGTGTAGCAGACCTTCATAGCAATTTGGGGTAAGTTTTCGCATGTACGTGTTACTTTGTTTCTGTTTGTTCATTTTCTTTAGCATTTTTGTGCAATTTTTTGGAAGCCTAAATGATTCAGAATTGGAATTTATGTGTAAGGATACGAGATACGCCATTGATTCAGTTGTGATGCACTACGGGGTGAAGTTTCCGTGCTGGGCGTTGTCTGATCTGTTGTCGTTTCAGCAAACTTTGGAGGAGATGCTTATGACAAGGTAATTTTGGAGCTGGGGAAGTGTTTAATCTTTGTTGGGTTTATGTCAATTCTTCTCTTCTCTTTTTTAATAATTATTTGGGCTATTGTTTTACTTTAGTATGTTTTACCATTGGATCTTGGACCTTTGATTTCTGTAAAACATGTTATGGTGAGTATCACTTCGATGTTGATATAGTTTATTTTGTTGCAGAGGATATGAAGAAGTGGAAAGGTACCTGATGGAATGAGAGTTTTGCTGCTTAAGACAAAGAATAGTAACTTAGTTATTTCATTTGCTTTTTAGCTGTTTCATTTGCTCTGTGCAATGCATCTTAGTTTTTCAACTCATAGATAGTTTAACCCATGATATGTCTTCACATTGTTCTTGGATATCATTAACTACTCCGTGCAAAAGGTGAAACTGAATATATACAACAATTTTCTATTTGTGCATCAATAGATTACCGTGACTAATTTAAAGAAATTGTTGCAATTTGGTATCAATTCTGTTCAGTTGTTTGGAAGCATGACTATGTCTGCAAGAGATTTATTGAGGATCCAGATTGCATCATGTTCTTAATGAGCTTGAAAGAGGAGTTGCTCTTCATCTGACAATTGCATCGCATGTGAGTAATGTCTTCTATCACAATTTTTAAATTGTGTTTTCGTGTCTAAATTATTAAGAATTAAGTTATACATAAGGGGATTAAGTGATTTAAAGACGTTGCATTTTAGAATAGGTTTTCTTAATTGACCCGTGGTCCAGTTCTGCAAAGTGTTGCCAACTATACAAACCAAAAAATCTATGTTTGTTAGTATCTCTAATATTTTCTTCTCCATTGCAAAATTATGAAAATTATGAGATTGGTTTGGAATTTGATTATTTCAATTTGTTTTTTTGGATTATATTTCAAGGTCAGTCGCTAAACTCTCTCCTTTTTTATTGGTTTTTGTTATTAGATTATTCTTTATTGCTTTGGATTTAAGCTATTGTTCAATGTCTTTTCATATGAGTTCTACTTTTTGCATCGTTCTTTTTTGTTATTAATGTTGGATTGTGATAGGAGCATATTTATGCGACTTAGTTGGCTTGTTCTTGTGCATTTATGTAGTGTTTCCTTAGTTATTTTAATGTTTAAAGTTATTTTCGTGTGTTTTCAGATTTTATGGACAAAGTAGGCAAGAAGATGCATTTTGGAGCATTTTGGAGCAAAATGGAGCTTGGAATGCTGTCACATATTTGGGCAAAAGTGGATGGACGAATTTGAGAACTAAAGAGACCAAAAATGTGAAGAATTATGGTCCAAAAGATGAAGAACTCAGCCCAAAAATTTGTCACCCCAACTTGCCTTCATTGCCATGCAAAACAACATAGAATTCCCTTTGGATTCCCATGCCATGCTTGATCACTCTTGTCCCCTACATAATTTCTGATTTCATGCTTCAATTCATTTAATTATTACACTTAATTGCTTGATACCTCTTGTTCCCTTCACCCACAAAATTTTATACAACTTTCACAACCATAACATGCACTAATTGATGCTCCATCATTCACATTTGGAATCTCATGCCTTGTGTACCACATGTTGCTGCACCTTTGACCCATTTATTGACACATTTTCACCTCCCTTTCCATCTCTATGCAATGTACACACAATCATTCATGCCCCCTAGCTACAAGACCACTCCATTTTACCCTTCACACTTTGCATCATCACTTCATGTTCACCCTTGGACCATTGCACACCACACTCTTTGCCGTGCATTCTCCCTAACCTAACCTGATTCTCTAAGGTTTTTGGGGCCTATATATACATGTTTACATCCCTTGGCAAAGGGTTCACACTCTTATATTCATCATTCATCACAGAAAATTCGTCCATACAACCTCTAGGTAGCAAAACACCCCAAAAACACCATTCTAGTGCCTAGAAAACATAACAGCCACTCCATCTTCTTCCACCCTCTTTGCCTAGTTCTCCACCACCCTCCAACCCTCAAACACTCTTCCACACTTACCCTAAACCTTTCCATACGATTCCCCATCCATTCTACATCATAAAACTACCCAAAAATCCGTCCACAAAGCAATCTGCCGCAAGCAAGCAAAGGAGAATTCTTGGATGCACTTGCTACCCAAGTTGGAGCATTTTAGGTGTTTTCTTTCCTTTGATTTTAATGTCTAATTTTATGTATCTTTGCTTTGTGAGTATGAGGAACTAAATCCCTCTTAGTTAGGGGGTGATTCGAAACCATGTTCATACTTGCAATATGATTTGATTACATCCAGTTGTGATTCATAAGTTGTGAATTCAATTTACTTATCCGATCGTATAAAAAATGATTTGTGTATGTTGGTTGAGAGTGCACGCTTAATTTTCATGCATGAATTTAACGCTAGAATATAAGGGAGTTTCACCTAATCGTTATGAACTTATATTCACAAGTAGTGAAGGTTGCTAGTCACAATCACGTTAAGTAAATTCTTGGCATAAGTTTCATGCAAATCATAGTAACGAGTGCCTCGTCAATGCTTATGTTTTTCATAGAACTTAATGATTCTTGCTTGTATCTCTATTATGCAATTCATGTAGGGAACTTGTAGGGAATGTTTTGGGTTGTCGTATGCAATCATCCAACCCAATAACTTGTGGAAAAACTGAGGGTTAATTAGTGCAATTCACAGTTAATTTGGGGCGTTGAGTATTCATAGCTTATCGAAAAGCAACTGGAAATCGTTTTGTATGCAAATGTGACATGTGTGGAGAAGAACCTCCTAGCTAGCCTTCCATCCATAAGTTTCATTCAAATTCATTTTACAATCTGTTTTGATTCACTTAAATTTGTCTAAGAATTTGTTTACTTTGTTCTTGTCTTAATTTAATTATTTTCGTCCAAAATCAACCCCATCTTATTTCTTTGAGTCATATCAATTAGAACTTGTCTTAGATTATGTTTTTAAGTGTTTTAGTTCATTAGAAAACCAAAATTCGTCCAAGTTTGTGTTAGAGTCCCAAAACTGCCCAGATTGTGTGTTTAAGGTAGTTTTGAGTGTTTAGGGGTTGTTTTGAGTCTTTTGGTTTGTTTTAGTGTTTTAAAGTATAGTTTTGCATTCTTTGAGTCTAGTTAGTGTTTTAAACTTTGTTTTTACGTTTTCAAGTCAGTTTCCAAGTGATTTAGCAATCCCTCCTAATCCCCGGCCTAGAACGATCCCTACTTACATACTTTACTACAATTGATAAAAAGAGGGTTTAATTTGTGTGCTTATATATTTCGCATCAGATTGTTGGCTTATAGATTTAGAGTGGGTTGCTTTAGATTTTACTTTGAGTGGCTTGGGAATTGATTGCTGGGCTTTAATTTAGAGCACAATCTAATCAAATGAAGGGCCAAGAGTTTCTATTTGAATGATGGTCCTAGATCATTTCATTCATTCCAGAAATGTTTCTGAATTTGAAGACTTAAAATCTAGACTAAAGAGTAGCATTATCTTGGATTGCCTATCTTAGCATGATGATTTTAAATTACAAACAACTTTGAAATTTACATTTGGAGTGTATTTTCATGTACAGGACAAGGTGTGGATTAGATAGCAGGATCTAGTTGGAAGACAAGATTTTGTGAAAGAAAGGGTAAGAAAATGCTGATGAATTTTCTTTGTTGATCTGTGCATGTAAGAGCTTTTATTGATTATTTTGTTTTCTTTTGGCCATGTAAAATCTCTGTACATAGAGTTCACAATACATGCATAGTTTTTCATTGTTCTAAAAATTTTAAGTTCCTATAAATCTTTTCCTGCATTTATGAATTCTAAATAAATGCAAATCATACAAATAATCAGTGGATAAAATTATTGGCTTATATGCACTAATGAAATATGCCAGCCTTTCAGCTTCTACCCAAGGGTTTTTTTTAAGAATGATGTAATTAAAGCAATTACATGCTCTATTAAGTATTTTTTCTTGGTAAGTGCCTAAATGTTTACACTTTCAGTTTAACAAAAAATGATAAATGGAGACAAAGTTGGAACCTAATAAATCAATATTAGCAAACCCATAAACTTATTTCGTGATTATCACGATATTGTTTCAATATTCTACTTTTGCTTGCAATTCCGTTCTCTCTAGGACATTAAGGTGCATTTTTGGTTTTTAAGTTTCACCGCCAGATAACAACTGTTTGATTGTGATCTCTCTGTGAGATTGGATATATGTTAAAAAATTCTGTTAACAAATGTTAATTGTGATCCAATTGTTTTTTCAATCATGTAAGGAGATGCAATCCAAGCGACTGCAAAAGATGTCGACTATGCTTTGGTTGATCGAAAAATAGAAACTGCACCTCTGTATTATGAGAGGAAATGGAAAGCAATTTGTCTCAGTTTTGGAATGTACTGGAATTAAAGAAGCTAACTCAAGGTGCTAACTTTGAATTTCCCTGAAATATCTTTTTTTTATTAATTATTTAGACATAGAAATTCTCCATGTTATTTTTATTAATTATTTATTTCAGAGTGAAGTGAAAATCTGTAAATGCGGATTTGTGTTTATTTGCCCAGCTGCTATTTCAAAGCTGGAGGAGGCATTGTTGATTAATCCTAGGAAATATGATGCTCTGTGGTGCTGGGAAATGCTTAAACTGCTTGCGAATTATGCACTCCGGACTAGAATGAGGCAAAGGTTCCAAAATGTGTTGTACTGCTTCCAAAAGGCTTTCAATGAGGTACTTCCACTTACAAATTTGTTATTCTTGGAATTTGTAATCCTGCAGCAACGCGCGGGCATTACTAGCTAGTATATACTAAAAGAGAAGGGAATTGTTATTAGCATTTCAAAAATCTCATTCTAAACTCTAAACTTTCTATATTAGGAAAGAAAAATACACTTGTGAGGAGTATAGAATGAGATTTTTGGGAGTGCCAATAACAGTTTCAAAGAGAAAATGAACTAAAACACTGTTCATTCAACAATGTTCTTCCATTTTTGCCCTTCAGTTGTTCTTCAAATCTTGCTTTTTTGGTATATTACACATTAAAAGGACGGTTTTAACCCTGGGTGTCCAATAGAAGTCTCCCGACTTCTTCCTCAGAAATCGCAGAAATCAAAAAGTAAAAAACTGTGCTCTGCAACATGATCGGTGATTTCGATTCCACTTCATGAGATTTGTGCGATCTTTGCTTCCTCATCTGTTCAATCTCCTCGCCGCCCCATTGGGCTCCCAATTTCTGTAGCCTTTGACATGTAATTAAATCTCAATTCTTCTCAACTACCCAAAAGCCAAATATTTGATTTTTTTTGGTTATGCTTTGTTACTTTGTTGAAATTTGGTGGTGCATGTAATCATCTTTAATAATTTCTAATCAGATTACAAAAACACACATGTAAAGGAATTTTGGGAAAGGAGGAGAGAGAAAATATTTAAGTTCAATTTTTATTTTTTTTATTGTGTTAATGATTTTTTAGAGGATATTTTGAGAGTCCGGAGTAGACCCGGCAGTTTCTGACATGACATAGTGACACGTTATGAAAACGACACGAAAATAACAGGTTTTGGGTCAACACGATAACTTATCAGGTCATTATCGGGTGACCCGTTAATAATGGGTTCTTAATGGGTATACACGCAGGTAACACGTGGGTAACCCGTTTCAACTCGTTAAGAAAAAATATATTTTTGATAATTTTAAAGTTTAATTACTAAAAGATTTATTATAAAATACAATAGCCATATTAATATATACAATATATTCTATATTAAATATATAGTTTTGTATTATTATTCTATATAAGTTTAAAAAAAAAGTTTTAGTCATTATTTATTTTTATTATGAGAGTTCCTTATTATCATTACTAGGATAAATTTTACTTAACATGTTGTTGTCCAAAATTAAAATAAACTAATATAGTATTTGTATTGGCAAGAACTAAGAATACATACATACAAGTATGAAAAATATGAAAGAATATATAAACACTCGTGATTCATCATTATTCCTTCACAAGTAGATAATGGTTACACTTACATTATCATTTAGATTTTTAAAATCCTCCAAACCTTCATGAATAATGTTTTTTATTGGAGGGCAAAATTAATAATAATTATTGTAGAAGTGTAAAAAATGTAAAGAAAAAAAAATATACAATCACTCATAGTGACAAACTTTAGAACTTTCATGAAGGGGTGAGCTTCGAAATCCAACACTATAATTCATAAACCTTAAATTTATATTTAACCGTCGATTGTCATTTACGTTTTATTCTTCTTACTGAATTTCATTTTTAAAATTTTCTTTTTTCAAAGCATAATCATTTGGCGGGTGTAAGAAGATGAACAGTTCAGATCTTTGATATCATGTTTCGATATTTACAGTTAACTGAAATATGAGTCGTTGTCATATAGTTTGTAGAAACTTTACAAACATCAAGCAATATTTTTACTAACCGTAAAACTCTGAATATAAGATCAATGATCCAAACCGTTCATCTTCCTGCATCCTCTAATAGATCAAGTTTTCAAAAAAGTAAATCTGAAGAAAAAAAAAATTTGATGAGTATGAAGCGTAAATGTAAACAACTATCAACGGTTAAATTTTGATCTATGATTTTGTTTGGACCCGATTTTACGCCGTTGGCCCAAGCAATCGAGGTCGTTGAGTAAACATGGTTCTTAATCGTCAGATAAGAAAGTTAAGATAATTTGCTATAAAAAATTTGATGAGTACAATGAAGCGTAAATGTAAACAACAATCAACGGTTAAATTTTGATCTATGATTTTGTTTGGACCCGATTTTACGCCGTTGACCCAAGCAATCGAGGCCGTTGAGTAAACATGGTTCTTAATCGTCAGATAAGAAAGTTAAGATAATTTTCTATTTTTTAATCATAATAATTATCTTTTAATAAATTATCTTAGTTTTCTTGTAAAAAATAAATTATAGAGATTCTTGGACTCTTCACTTGGCCTAACATGGATCTGCAAGCCGAAGATAATGGTGGATAAGAGACCTAAGCAGGCTAGGATGTTGTCAGATGATGGAAGACTTGCATGCCGTGTGAAAAGCTACAAGTTATATATATGTAGGTTGTATAGTCTGCATACCCATCAGCCTATGCCGTGCAAAAATCTCCCAGACTATATGGTTATAGTTATATATATATATATATATATATATATATATATATATATATATATATATAATGGTGGTTATTTTGATGAGGGCATTATTTGAACCAATCCAAGTGTGCAGGATATCTTGGGATTTGATGTGATAAAACTGAGCACAAAGATTGAATTTGGTTGCATTTTTGACTGAGTTAAAAGTCTTGGGAATATAAGGCTTATATGACGCAATTGGTGGAAGAGTTATAGTACATGGCAAAAGCTTATATCAGCTTATCAACCAACGCGCATATGTCCCTATAAATACAAAGAGGGTGCACCATTCAAAAGATCTCCAATTGAACACACAAAACTGCCCTGCGCAAACCCTCTCAACAACTTTAAGATTTTTTTATTTTCTTTTTCGCCGACACATCTTCAGTTGGCATAAACATCATTGTGGAGGCAACCGGTGATATCTTCAGTTGGCATAAACATCACTATCGCCGTAGAATTAGCCGATCTCGTAGCATCTTTAGTTGGCATAAACAGCACTGCGTCAAGGGCGATTGGTTACCTATCCAAGTCTCAGTCGAGAAGGATTTTCGAATCCTTGTTGGTCGAGGTCATCTCATCAGCCTTCTCGGCGAAGTGAGGTGTTACGAGTTATTACATTCGGCACATTGGAAACCGAATTTGATATTGAACTTCGCTAAGTTAGCAGCCTTGTCTTCAGGCTTTATAACCCGAAGGTTAAGACAAGTTCTTTCCTCGGTCGCAATCGTAAGACGTAGACGTCGACCGCACACCCAACGCAACATCAACATATTTTACTCCTCGGCCGAGCTCGGTCGACGAGTTGGCACACCCCGCACACAACTGAAGTATGTAGTTAGCTCATAGATTACTTGGCCTGCGTGCCACGTAGGCTTGGTAGATTTTAGGGTCAACATTTTGGCATGCCCAGTGGGACCCAGTGCTAAAACTACAAAATTCACATTATAGATCAAGATGTTGATTCGGCTCCATTTAGTCGACTGCACGAGCTCCTGGAACAATTGAAAAAACACAATGAGGAAATGAAAAGATCTTTGGAAGTGGGAAAAGTTCTTCGTGGCCATAAAGAGATGCAAATATCATTCGCTCACATGTTGAGAATAAAAGCTCCTATTACCCTCCAAGAGCAATAGGTAAATGAAGACATGGCTCAATTTAATGCCTGGTTGGATAGAGAACATTTTCCTTACGTTTTCGACTACAAATCAATTCCATTTGATGAATGGTTGGTTGAAAAAATCGGGGGGCAATTTTTCGCTCTGGACACAACCAACATTCGGCCTAAGAAGATTGTCGAGACGGCTGAAGAAAAACCTAGGCCACCTGTTGTCTTGGTCAAGATTGGAAGTGTGGTAGGCCTAGAAGCAAAAGTTCAAGTTTATGAGCCAAAAGTCAACCCAGAAAATGATTCGTCATAGGAGTGCTCTAATGACGAACAAGGCCGAGATGTAGGCCTAGCCGAAAAAATCACGCCAATCGATATGATTATTGGTGATAAAGTCGATATGGAGAAATCCTGTTTGGCTAAGTTGTTGAAAGCAGAAATTGGCGAAGTAATTATGCCTGGGGGGCATAATAATTGTTTAAAACATTCGGCGGTCAAAAATGAAAAATATTTCACCAAGTCAAAAATATTTGGAGAAACTTCTTTATTCGGCCTAGAGCAAAATCATTTTGAAATTTTTGATATAAACAGATCTCGACTTGGGATAAAACATCGTTGGCCTCCTCCTCTTTATTAGTTCGGTCCATTTTCGTTTTCTTTTATTACGAAAAGAGATAAATTAATTTCTTAATGATCTGGCTAATTAAGCCGATGCATAAGAAATTAAAGGGGGCGACAACAGTGCGGCAATCCAAATATGTATATATCAATTGGCCGAGGAAGGCAATTCAAATATATATATATATATATATATATTAGTTGGCCGAGTATAAAAAATGGAATGAAGGACATGATGGAGATATGCATGGCAGATGGCATCATGTCAGGATTTGGGTTTATGGCTTACATCAAGATGCCACTACCGAGAAGAAAAGAGTGGGATCACACATGCCGAGCTCGAAGGACTGGTGCTAAGCACAGGTTCATTTTATAAATGTGTGTGTGCACGGCCAGGATCCCGTTTATATATATGGCAGCTGCATGGCTGGCAGGTCACATCAAACAATCATGTACTTTTATATATCTGTACTTATAGGCAGGCCGAGCTTCAGGAACGGGTTTTATCAATCTTGGCCCTAGTTCTTCTCGGCCTTATTGTACTCTCGACCTTGACCCATCAGATGTTAAAGTAGAATGCATGCATATGCATGGAAGAGACAAACGGTGAATTAGCAGAAGGAGATCACGACATTGGCAGAACATACATGTTATTGCCGAGGAACAAAATTTGTTTCAAAAATAAGACGAAATGTTGTCGGCTACGAACACTTAATTTCCTTAACCATTCGGTTTACGAGTCGAAGCTCAAGGAAACTAGGGGGCAATGTTTGGACCTGATTTTACACCGTCGGCCCAAGCAATTGAGGTCGTTGAGTAAACATGGTTCTTAATCGTCGGATAAGAAATTTAAGATAATTTGCTATT